GATTGATAAAAATCGATCGCGTTGTGTTTGCCAGTCATCAACTTTTAATTTGACGCGATGAATGCATTTAACGGGAGGTTCGATCGCTAAATTCTGGGGAATTTCACGCGTTTCTGAAAATTGATTATTTTGCACGTGACTATGTAACCAAAATAAAATAAATAAAAATTTACACGTATAACCGTTTAATTAATAGTATACATCAATTGAAAAAAATTTGCAATTGCGAGCGAAAAATGATACCTAACTGCTAAATTTGAGTTTTGGTTGTTATAAACTGAATCGATCAGTTGAAGAACAGTGAAAGTTCAAAGTTAGACATTTTCAGAAAGTATTAAAATTAAGGCGTAAGTGAGTAAAAAATACATACCGAGATGAAGAACGTTATAAAAAGAAATATTTTATACTCGCGAACGAAACAATTATTTTAATGAATACTATCTCTATCATTGCATCGTACAAATAAATAGTTTTTCTTTCAAGCGTATTGATTTTTTTTGATCAAAGAATGACTTGAGTTCAAAGATAGTGCAAATCCAACGATTTTATTTTATAATTATTAAAGATTCATACGAAGTTTAGCCACAGCTAGATGAACGTGACCTGGTCAATGTGTTTACTTAGGTCAAAACAGCTCTGTAAAATGAATTTCAAAAGAACGTTACGAACTAATATATTACAATTTATAAATTAATTACAAATAATTATTAACTTAATTATTAATTATTAATCACTGTAGATCTACTGTTTCATAGATCTCAAAATGTATCATAATTCTTGAACTTGCATTATTCCGCAACCCGGTCCGATTCGATCGCATTTCACTGTTGTAATAGTGAATGCCAGCGCGTTCGCAAATGTTTAACGGCGAACCGAAATGAAATTTCGTTCTGACACCGGTTCTCTGTTGTTTTTACCCTCCGCTAATTCTCTTCGCGAATAATTTTTCATATAAATGTAAATTTCGCTACAAATTGTCATTTACTATGCGACCGGAGATTCGCATATTCTAGGTACGTCTCGCACATGACGTGGTAACGTTGCCTACGTACGCATACGTATACGTTTATTTCAAAAATTCCGATATCCACGAAATGATGAATTCAATATACCATTATATTTGTATGATTTACGTTAGACATTGTGTTTTTCGGCGGACACGGTGGATATTATATCCCCTCATTCGAGCATAAAACGTCAGGGCAAATTATACTGGTCGAGCATGAAATGTTGGTACACATCCGCGTGCACAAACATCGTAATGCCTGCAGGAGTAATTTCCACGTCGTATTTCGGACACGTGATTTTGCAACGTTCGCCATGATCGACTTCGTGGCAGAATTGACCCAGTTCGGCCCCCCAACCCCATTTAGCGAATATTAAGCCGACCTGCACGCACATACACGCACAATAGTATGTAGAACATGTTGACAGTGCGTACACGCGCGGTTAAGTCAATCTAGATATCTACCATTCTCGAAATCCAGGCAATCGAAGATAACAGAGAGCATCGATGGAATTAGGTTGTCAACAGAGACACGGCAGTTTCTGAGCCAAAATTTCACGCTGCTTTCTCGATCGACTGTAATTTACGATATTGCGAATCGTACCGAGGATTTCCACGATATTGTCGCAGCTCATTGTCTGCCATTTTTTCTCCGCGCAGGTGTTTCCTCGTTCTACTCGTAAATGTTTGACTGTGCAAATAACATTTTATTATTACTCGTTTTATTACTCATTTATTACATCATTCATTTCGTTGTTTCATCGCCATTATATTTGGTATTTTTTCATCGTGATTTCAAAATGATTCATTGCGTGACTTTGGATTATTTCGATTGTTGCAAGAATATCGTACAATACATAATACCATAAGTTTGACTCTGAGTGAAAAAAAGTAAACTCAACCTGAAATTGCTTCGACTAGCGAGAAACTTTCTAAAATGTTTAGTTTCGAACAATTGCAAAGTTGAAAGGGACAGAAGAGATGAGATTCAGCTAAATGGCACGATACCGTCTACTGAAGGAATTCGAAAATTAGTTGTCGACGAACCGATAAATAAAATTGGACGATCAGCGGAACGTCGCGTGGCTTATTGTGATTCGACAGACAGGGGCGCGTAAAGCGTCTCAGCAACGATCATTTCCTACCGGAGATTTAATCAGCCTGGTGTTGATGTCGTTGATGCATTCGAGGTATTTCAGCCACGTTCCCTCTCGGCTTGCCACCAACCCCATCGTATGTGCGAGCTTACGATAGGATAGCAGTCGCTTTATCTATATGCAAGCATGCGACTAAGCCAATCTCTGTACGTTCTCCCGCAGAATTACAGGCGAACAACGGTTCCCCGGGGAATTAAGGGACACCTTAGAGCGTATGTGGTTTAGAAGATGTCGCGATACCGAAACCATAGCAGACTGCATTTGCTATTGCAATTTTGCCCTGGCAAATTGTCGTTTGATACGATGATGTTTCTCGTCTTGTCCCGTGTGCTGTTTCGATAAATGATAAACAAAGGAGGATTTCATTTGTTTCTTAGTTTTTTTTTTTTATTTTTTTTATGTGACTTTAATTGGTCAGGATTTATTAGGATTTAGCGACGATTAGGATTTTGCTTCGTACATATGGCTTGGATTATGGACAAGTGAAATATTTCTCTGTTAACAAATTGATCGCTACGCGAAACTTGAGCAGGATATCCAATTTTTGTAAAATATCGCGTTACGACCGAAGGGTAATGAATATGCGTTTTCATATTTTGTGAAACTACGTAGTTACGCATGTTATTTAAAACTTTTTCGATAATGATTTTCTTGTCAATCAACGTGGCAGTTGACGTGTGAATGACGTGCAATATAATTTTCGGTGACTTCTACTTGACCAGTGTACATAGGTATAGAGAGAAATATGGAAGAAGTAAAAATTCAAGGACCGAGGATTTGATGATTCTACAATGAAAGACGCAAGTTCCTATTTCCATTTACATACTTTAATATCTGCAATTTAAATTTTTATGAAAAATTACGATTTGGTTATTTCAAGCACTTTGCTAGTTCTAGCGTTAATGCTTACTTATATACAATGCAATGGAAAGTGGCTTTGTTCAAAGCAAATGCTATGTTAACAATTTTAATTAACATCAGCTGCCTTTGATTAAAACAATATCGTTCCCTTCATTATTATTTTAAGAGGGACGCAACGTCAACGTGAATTATACGCGCAAATTTGTATGATTGAAACAAAACAACACCGTTCATCTAAAGATTCAGAATTCACTAAAATTCACTTTGAGATGGAAAATATGAAAATAGTTTCTGCAGAAATTGCTTCAAGAAGTAAATGCTCGTACTACATACGTAATGTTACATATTATTAGACTACGAATGTTCATGTGTTTGTAAGGAAAAGATCTAAGAACGCAAAAATATGCCTAATATACAAAAATATATAAAATACTTTGGCGCCAGATGGAATATTTCTTTAATGTGAACATTTGCATTCCGTTAACTATAATTTTTAAATTTCAATTTAAACTTCAGTATCAGATTAATATTAAATTTTAATGTTAATATTAACTTTTGTATTCAAACGAAAATATTACATTACAAAAATTATGTAATAATACAAAAATTGTACATTTCGAATTATATTTTAGCAAAATCTGGTAAAATCAGAGTCAGATTTTTGACAAAGCGGGGATACAATCATTTCCCAGCAAAACAGTGAAATCGTAGCTAATTAAGTTTTCACTCGTCGAATGATTCGATTAAACAATCGCGCTGATAAACAGTTGTGGTAGTGTAATTAATGCGATGCTGTATAATTTCGTTATTATTATCCAACGATCTGCTGGTTAATACGCGTCGAATGTAATAGATGAAACGTATGACCAATAGGTTATCCGATTCCCGCCTGAACAATAGTTAATAATTGCACCCTTATTTTCCGTGTCGATCATAACGCGAAACAATTTACGATAAATCTTTTCGATGAATGGAATCCGCAAATCGATTTCATCGTATAAAGCTTTTGACTAATTTTCGATGGTAAATTTATGGTTCTTTACCTCGAATAGGCGGAATTAACGTAAAAATTCTCGGTCCCATTGGTGATTAATTAATTCGCGATGTTAAACTTTGATTCAGTTCAATTAAAAAATTGGAAGATCGTTTATTATCTAAGATTGGATTTGTCTTAGTATATTTCTCTTTTTATGCATCGAGAAACAAACTTTTCTATTAGGTATCCCTTTTATTATATTTATTGTGGCATGTAACAATTGTAGAGAAAATGGTATAAAACAAATATATGTTAATAAAAATACGATAAATATAAGATCCTAATAATTATAGTAATAAAGCACAATTATTTAATTAAATTTAAATTCTCTTAAATTAAGTTTGATTGAATATTCCTTTCTCTACGTGTCGGGAAGCAAATTTTCACTTTAGATTGATCTCCATTTATCGAATATTTAAGCTCTTTAAGTTATTTTAGCGTGATGAATAATCGAAGAGGAATATATATTTCCAGATATTATTGTGTTTATTGGCGTATATTTGTTTTGTAATTGCAGATACAATAATAAGAAAATTTTGTGTGTGACGATCGGAGAGGAAGCGTGTTTACGAATATTGTTATTATCGTTATTATATTTTCACTAACGTATATTTACTTTATAATTATTTTATAATTATTCCCCTTTCGTACTCGAATAACTCTGTCAATCAATATCAGTATTCCGTGATAAATAAGCGTACAAAGTGACAAACAGGATATACTAATTTTAAAAGTCCATTGCTCGTCTTTAATTTCAATTAATAAGCGTGATAACAAAAAAAAAAAAAAAAAAAAAAAAAAAGAAAAGAAAATATAAAAACATCCTATTCTCTCTAAGCTAATCTTTTTCCCTTGTGATTCTTCGTTTTGTTTTCTTTTTTTTCTTTTTGGTCTCTTCTTTGTTCTTTCGTTCGATCGATGTTTGAAAATAAAATTCCGAAGAAATCGACAGGGTATCGATAATATCAATTCAAGAGATACATATGTATAGATATGATAGGCATATTTACAGTACACGTACGTGAACATAACTTCATTCCACTACTTCCGTCTATCATCCGGTCACGTGTTACACATTCCCTAATCGATATTCGAAACGTATATTTGTACAATAGACACTTACGGCAGGAATACTCACGCGCCAAAACCTCTTTGCGACGCACTTGGACACCGATGATGGCCTCCATGGGAACTTCCGTACGTGGAATGCTGACTGCATGCGGTGGTAAGTAGATTGGTTCCAAGTTTCCAAAGGTGCATTCTTGTGGAATATTTTTATAACAATAAGAGTGCAACTGCAATCAGACAATTGTCAAACAACAATGTGTTAACCACGTTTCCTTCTCCAGATACGGATACGCGATTTAAAAGAAAAAAAAAAAAAAAAAGGAAGAAAGTGGAGCACTTTAACTTTGATTGAGACGTCGATGGTGAAAGAAGAACGATAAACTATATTTCAATATTTAAGAATTCTCTAATTGCGAGACAACTGTTTTGGGAATGTTCAAAGTTTGTTTTCCATGTTCATCTGTTTGTAAATTTACAAATCATCACACCCATTCGTATGAAATTAAATCAGCAACGCCGACTTTAGCAGAGGCTCGTAACGAGAATCGTAAGATATTCTTTAAACATTAATTAAGCTGATGGCGAAAGATGCATCCTTCGAAGCTCTTTTGGTAAAAATATATTCCGACATTTCAGAATTCTCAAAGATCCTTCGTGTAAATTCTTTTGGGAACGCTCGATGCTCGTTTCTATATTGATCTGTTTGTAAATTTACAAATTATTCTCGAGCCACTCGTACGAAACTAAATATTCCTCGCGTTCACAAAAAGCGATACTAATTTTACACTGTTTTCGTATGCAAAAGCGCGGCCGGTGTTTCACCACGGAACGCTTTTGTTATGCAAATCGGTATTTTTATTAAAACTCGGTCGCTCATTACTTTAACAGGAGCGCCCGTTGATTCGATTTGGGGACGATCGATGTTATTTTCAATCAAGACAATTAAGCATCGTTCAAACGGACGTTCCAGATGAATTTGTATCATTTTTAGCTTCCCCCTTCGAAGGGGGACCATTAACCGCGATAATTTTAGACGCCCAGAGAAACATATATATATTTCAATGTTTTTTTATTTATAAACGCGGAGAATTATTCAGACTTTATCGGACTTAGCGTGGACGAAAGTGCTTATTACGCGTTAGGATGGCGAAAAGTAAGTTTGGAAGAAGAAAGAGGAGGAACATTTACCGTCATGCCGCACCACTCGCAACGAAACCCGGAAAGGCACTCGGCAGAAAAACAATTTTTCTTGCAGACAGCGCATTTCGAACTGCTGGGAAGATTACCTTCTCGCCAGTGATGAGTGTGTTTTACCTGCGCCAAGTCCTTCCCAGGTAAATACGTGGCGTTCTCCTTGCAATCTGCCACGGCAAAGTCCTGGCACTCCGTGTGCACGAAGTACTCGCATACTGAAATCATCGCAAGCATCATCCGTCACTATCGCTTCATTTCCTTCGAAAACTTGGCTCGAACTGAATATCATTAGTTTCTTTATTAGCGATTTTTCCTGTTTCACGATCAAAGGAGACGAACTTTCGAAAGAGACTTCTCCGTAGACGATCGTTTCCCCCCGCTGAGATATAATCGAGTGAAAAATCCGTTCGCGATCGTTGAATTCTCACGTACGCGGAGGGAAAGGATGAAATTAAACGTGCAAGCAGATAAATCGTAGCGGGAAAGGTTAAATGCCAGGAGCAGCGCTAGGTTTAAAGCGTGAAAAAAAAAAAAAAAAAAAAAAAAAAAGAAATTCTCGCGTCGAAGGATATCCGGCCCCGAAATGTGGAACAGTTGCCACGAACGTGCAAATAGAAAACGGGAGAACAGAGAATCAATTATGGATAATCGGAAATGGGAGTGGTAACGTGGTAAGAAGAAAAGGAAAAGAAAAAAGGGTAGCAGAATACGTACGTGTGTAGAAGTGAAGGAGGAAGAACGCGTAAAAATACACGGGCGGAACGACGGAATAAAAAAGTCGAACGATGAAGAGCCGCCGCGATTAAAATGGGGAAAGGGGGAGAAAATGGAAGGAGAGGGGAACGAATGTCAAAGGTTAAATAAGAAATTACTATTTATTCACGTGAAAACGCTTTTTACGATTGCGATTTCCCTGGCAGGACAAGGCAAAAGATAATTAAGGCGAGAAAATGCAGTTAAACGTATTTCCACATGCGATGAAATTGAAATCATCGTCGAGGCCAGCACAAAAAGGACAGATTAAAGGAACTTGTTTCGAGCTACGTATAATCGATCTAAAGAGCTGAAAGATTTTAAATGGAATAAAAAGAAGAAAAATTCAACGCGACTGCGCCGCTATGACGTTCAAATGTATCAGTTATTTTTTTCCATTTAATGCCACGATTGACGTAAATGCGTGTTTAGCATTGTTTGCTGCTTTGTACGCGCGAGCGAGCGTTTCATTGTTCCATAGATTTACAAAACCAGCACTCGTTTAAATTCATCAAACGTAGAACCTTTTGTCCGTAGTGAAAAGCATAACTGAACCAATAGTTATAGATTTCGCGTGAATCGATCTTTACTTCTGTCGACCCTTTTTTAAATTGAACTAAATTACATTACGGCGTAACATGTACGCGAATCGAAACTGTCGTTCGTATTATCTAGAGTCTCTCTCTTTTACGAACTGTAAATGCTTCTCTGAACTTGAAAATATTTTGTCCAAATCTTATTAGTTCGTAATAAAAGAGAGTTTTCTTTTAATCCTGCCGAGTGATTATTGTTTCACAGTATAAGTTTCGGAATTCCTATAATGATCTTATTTTGAGTTAATTAATTCTCATTGATAAGAATTTTGAAACTTGTATTGTGAAGAGATATGAATCGTCCAATGTGTCACGAATATGTACTTGTTTGTTCTTTGAAACTCCTGTTTCAAAAAGAAATGATCATCAATTCGTCTGAAACACTGCGATATTTTTCGAAAAAAAGAATATATATAATAATACGACAAGAAGTCACGCACGTAAAATCTTTCTACATAATATTACAATGCAACAAACGTAATATTCTGATGCACAAATCTTTTGCAGTTAATATTCACGAATGAAAAATAATTCATACAAATGATACCCGTGATTAGCTGAGTAGATCTTAGGTGAGTCCCATTTACAATGCCAATCGACGCGACGATCCTCGCCCAACGAGACAACTCGCGGGGAAAATCTCAATCGTTTCTTAATTAAAAACCACACCGCTTTCTCAATTATCCCGAACGCAATTTCTCCTCGGCAAAAATTGCCAGCCACGGCTCAATTCATCTGCGTGAGAATGAAAACAAAACCCGGAGAAAGAACACCGCTCAGCACCGAAAAAGAGAAAGGGAGAGAGAGACAGAGAGAAAGAGGAAACAAATTAGAAAAACTACCACCGGCCAGACGAAGGAGAACAACGCGAGAAGAAGAGGGGTAGAGCCACGATGACGAGGACGACGACAGGGCGAAACAAAGCGACATAGCGGAGCGAGGAGAAGAGCCGAGCGGAGAGGCGTCGAGGGGAGCAAACATTAATGCTACCCCGCAGACCGCAGATGTTGCGCCAATTACAAACCTCACCCTTGCGTACTCCTCTCGTCTCGCTCGCTCCTCGAAGCGAGGAGGCCGCGCGCCGCGAACGGAGAAACAAGGAGGAACACGACTTACGAGCCCCGATGTCGCGTATCTTCCTGCCTCTAGCTCTTTGTCTCTTCCTTCTCTCCCTGCTGTTCCTGCAGCACTCGTCGACGACGTTGGCTCTCGCCAAGTGTGCGCGCAGCTCCGGATGCAGCGCCGGGGGCGTAGAGGGGTGGCACGGCCCGCCAACGAGACACGAATTTTCGAAAAGGCTCTCTCGCACTTTGTTAGATTAAATTTAGCGCAAGGCGCAAAAGGAACGAGCCCTCTCGCGCTCGTCGCCTCTCTTTCTCCGTCGCCGAAGACACGGAGCGTTAGAATGGTACGAGGGTGGTCCACGATCCTTCGAAGGAGAGAGAAAAACGATCGGCACGGGACAAGGACGCGCCAGTTACCAGGGAGGAAAAAGCGGCCGGAAGACAGAGAGAGAGAGAGAGAGAGAGGGGTGAACAGCGAGTACGCCCGGTGGCTGATATTATTCTTGGGTCTTCCTCGCTGGAGCATTATTAGTTCTGGCGTGTTAGCATACATGAAATATTGATGTTACAGAGAGAGGCCGCCCTGCCGCTCCGTGTCCCACCTCCGGCCTCTTACACCCCCTTGGTCTCGCGTCTCTTTAGATTTTACACGTATATATACACATATACGAGCATCCGCCCGTACTCTCGCGTGACTTCTCTTTCGCTCGTTGTCCCACGGAGTCTTCTTCTCCTTTCTTTTCACCGCCTCACGGACTCTTTGTCGACGATTTTTACGGCTTTTAAGCTCCCCCCCCCCCCCCCCCTTCACCGTTCGTAATCCGCTTCCTGGTCGTTTTACCGGGCGTTTTTGGAACACTGCGAAAGGATTGCGACTTCTTGGCTTTGATACGCGCGAGCTTGTTGGCTTTAACCTCCCTACTTGCCTGTTTACGGATCTTTTATATATTATATTTAGAGACCTGTTTGTCCATTTTGGGGCTTCTTACGTTACATTTGATCGAAAAACTGTTTGATCGGTGATACAATCAGAGCGAGTTATTTTTATTATATAAGATTGATTATCGTGCACGGCGAAAGAATTCCGATTGGTCCAATTATATTCGATGTCCAACGGATTTATTCTCTCAATCGGATCGGACGAAATCATTCGATAGACGAAGAAAAATTGGGTGTGATTTTTGGTAATACTTTGTACAGGGCAAGCTATAGAAATGTACAATTGCGCAGCTTATAGGATAGATATTTAATTACAAAATCACTGGTCCATAATGTCAATATGATGAGCGAGATTTGTTGAATATTATATATTGTTTCTCTTGAGCAAGTAGTTAATAATTATGTGATTCAGTGGCTATGATGGATATATTCCGTCATAATGACCTGTACTATGGATATAACGATGTATGTACCTCATTATTGTACGAAAACAATTACTCATTCCAAATGTGGACATTTAAACACGAGTTAGAAAATATTCCCTGCTTAAGAAGCTGAGAATCCCTGTTAGTTTTATTACGTTTAAAATTCACTAAAGTCTTGTAACTAATTAAACGTTCTAGTCATACTGGAAAGATAAAATAAACTCGTCAAACTTGTAAAGAGAATTCTCAATCTTCATATCGATTTAAGTCACAAAGTGTATATAGGTTGTGATATTTAATATTTCGAAAAATAGAATAGATTTACTTTACCTAAAATTCACTAATTGAAAAAATTCATTATGATTAATTAAAATTGTCAAAAGAATTTTTAATGTTACAGTGGCTTATTAGACCACATCGAACTGCATTCAGACTGCATTCAACTGTATATAGTCGTAATGCAAATAAACGAGAAACCACGCGAATCAAAGACCAGACGAGAAAGTGAAATCACAACGAAACTACGACAGTTAGGGGAAGTTAATTGAATTCTCGAGCTTCTTTGACGACGGCAAAAGCGCGTTGTTCCGTTCGTTAGATTTATCTTAATACGGCGAGCGCCGACGAGCGTCCTAATTCCTTGAAGCCACCATTAAAGCCGCGATCGATTTCAAGGATCTTCGGTGCGGGGTTGCGTTAGTTAACAGCCGGGTTAATTATTGGAAATTTAGAACCCGTCGCAAGGGAATTCCTTACGTTTCGACGAGGCTGTTTGATCTCCAGCTTCGTTCGATCATTTCGCTTATTCTGCTGCAACAAAACTTTTCCAACACTGAACACACGTAACTAATAATAAATTCGTCTTTGATCGCATTGTCGAGTCTGTTTCTTAAATTATGCAATTCCAATGCTTTCTCTTTCTTCGGCGAAGTCGTACAGTTGTATAAAATTGAAAGAAATCTAGACATCTTTAACATTACGATAAACTATTTTCTCGATTCTTAATAAGTTAATATATAGTTACGATTAGGAAAAATTAGTCGGTGAGATATTGATATGCCAGAGTCAAGCTTTAAGATCATTTCGTATGCATGAATTTAATATTCATGTACCCGTTTTTGATTACTTATTCAGCGTGGAAAAAAGGAGAGAGAGAGCCACGTTACGCAGACAGGCAGAGTGAAAGTAGCTGGAAACGCATTTGCAAAAATAATCCAATTTCATCCGTCGAATATCCTATCCGGGGTGGAGTTCTCGTCATTTCGTTGCTAACTTTATCACGTTATTACATTTTTGTTGCATTTCCGTCTCGCTGCACCGGTTTTCCCCTTTTCCTCGACTTTCCCCCACGGGAGGCGTCTGGGTGATCGATGCGTTCTTTGAAAAAAGATCAAGATTGAAGAGAATACGTTTTCGCCAGTAGACTTCACGAAGGGAAGGAACTTTTTTGTCATTTGCATTTACTTTCCTCCAAGTGGCGCGAAATTTCCGTGTGTCTGATATCTGCTAATCCGACGTTTCGCTTTCTCAGCGTTCTCAGCCGCACGCTCGACTATAAATTTCGTCTCGTGCGTATTGCTCTTCGAAACAACACGTCTTACTTCGCAGTCACTTTAATACATTCGCATCTGCGAACGAAATATAATATTTTGTCACGCGAGGTTGTGTTTATGACACGCTTCGAACGAGATACGCGTGACATTGTCTAACATTTTGTAAAGAAATGCTTTCAACGAAGTACTATAAAATTTGTTTGCAAGAACGAAGAATCTTTTTTTATTTAAGGAGGTAGTCCTTATCAAAAATCGACAGTGTCTCGTTGCACCTGATTCTAAACTAACGACATTCCACAGATATTTCGTTCATAAAGAACAAAGTTAATCCAAGGAAAAAAATATTGTAATATTTTAATCGTGCGTATATTTCATCGTACGAAACACGTGTTCGAACAATCCGCAAATGGGTTTACCTGATTTCACGTTTTTCTCGTTGTGAATCGTCAGCGAGCTTGGATTCCCGTAAACAGAGTTATTCATTTCGGCCATCAGCTCCCAATCTGTACAGAAAATGGCATTTTATAGCAGTTACTCCGGGGGATTTCGCGAGAAATAAATATCTAAAACGTTCACTCGGTAACCTCGTTCCTTTTTAAACGGAATATACGCGGTCGTTGAAGCTTCGCAACGTTCGTTGTATAAATAATAGATCGCTGCCGTTCGACCCCGGCGGTTGAGCAACTAAATTACCTTCCTTAAGGAAACTGACAGAAGTTAAAGCCGCTTATGAGATCCTGTGTACGAAGTACAGGCAAACATATCAATCGGCTACACTTTCAAACATTTTTCATCACGCGGGTGTTATCTATTTATTCGAGATTCTTAGCTGCTTTTAACGAAGAAAAATTTCGAAATCACTAGAATCTTTCAATTTTCCAAGAAGAACGAGCGGCACACGTCTTTTAATTTTTTTAAATTTTTAATTTTTGCTACTTTTCTTTGTTGAATTAGTAATTTAATGAAAAGTGTGCAAATATATATTTTTAGTACATTGAAAATGAAACTACGAGAAAGAATATTACTTTACCTACTATGTGGAAAAGAAATTTCACTAAAAAGTTTAGAGCATATGATATGACAGAACGTAAAATTTCATGTATCGCTTCCAGTTCTATTAAGAAAGCAGCACTTTTTCTCCACGAGGTCCAAAATTATTTAACGTCAGCGTACTAAACGTAGACTTGCAACGAACAATTAAACAGTAAATTTCAGTAAGTACAGCTAGTACTAGTAGCAAGTGTACGCGATAGTTTTACTTGTATCAAACCCCCGCCCCAATCTTCCCCACTGAATATTTACAACTAAAATTAAATAAAAATAGAAATATCCCTGTAACATTAACTTTATCCTTCTCCTTTAATTCAAATCTACATAAATCGTTACGTTTATTCGCGTCTCGTGAAATCGAATGGAAATCGTAGATTGCACAGAGGAAGCTGGTATAACAGTGAAAACAGAAGTAAACCGAAAAGAAAAGAGGGGAAAAAGAATGAAGGAAACGCGCAACGTCTCGGAAAAGAAGATCCTCGAAGCGGTATCGAGGCGAAGCTCCGCCGCCCCGAATAAAATATTATTTTCCCCACGATTAAATCAGGTGTACGAGCTTACCTTTCTTCGGCATCTCCGTGGTAGACGGGCTCGGGCTGGTGCTCGGAGGCGTCGACACTGCAACGAGAGAAACAAGTTTTTATTTTTAATTAAAGTTTCTCCTCGTGGCGCGCGGTGCTGCTGGTAGGCGCGCTTGTGGCCCGTTTAGGAGCAACACGGTTAAGAGGAGGGTGGTTGCTCGGTAAACCAACGATGCAAGCAGAGAGAAGACAGAGGGGGTGGCAAGAGGGTCGACTTGGAACCTGCACGAACCGTTATGGATTGCGCCACCTGTTACTAACTTCGCCCTCAAAACGTATTAGCCACCGTGGCGCCGGCCAGGCCGGCCAACCTCCACATCATATTTTACGCGCTACCTATCGCACTCTTACTCGGCTGCGAGCTCGTTTGCCACGCTTCCCTAACCCTGTCGCCGCGGTGAATACAGCTGAATAATTATTCCTAATTATTCGCCGTTCGTTTTGTCGCGTTCTTCGTTGTCGTAATGTCGTGACGTCGGAGAATAGTCGCGTATTTAGGATTTAGGGGGGGTGGGATGGGGGAGGGGGGCTGCATTTGGTCGGAGATTATGCTTATCGTAGATTACGCAGCGCAGCGGTTTCTTTACGCCTTTGCGGGCTGAGACTTTTGTTCCTGAACGCGATAATTCTTCGCGATTTGTTCGCTGATTATGTGGGAAAAATATCGTGGCACAACGTTTTTTTTCATATGTAAAATACCTTCAATGAATATGCAAACCATTGTTATATTTCGAAAGTGTTTTGATATATTCATGGATATAATTATGATATATTTATCGTAAAAATATTACACTATATTGTATATTCAACAGCGAATGGTGGTTGAGTTAGAAATTAGTTTCGTACTGAAATAAGTATACATCGTAGGGGATAAATATATAAGAATAAGAATATACAGTTTGCATACGCTTTTACTGTATCTTCTTTGTTCATATGTAAAAATACTCTCAGTGAATATGCAAACCATTGTTATATTTCGAAAGTTTTTGAAACCAATATATTCATGGATATAATTATGATATATTTATCGTAAAAATATTACACTATACTGTATATTCAACAGCGAATGGTGGTTGAGTTAGAAATTAGTTTTGTACTGAAATAAGTATATATTGTAGAGGATGAATATATAAAGATCAATATTTCAAACGCAATTGAAAAATCTTAGGAATGAATCTCTTTATACTATCAGAAAAATTAGAAACTATCCGAGAAATTGTTTGTAGAAAGAAATACGTCTAAATATATAAAATATATTTCAAATGAGATTCTTTAATCTAATTTTTTGTCTCTTATTACCATATCAACCATATACAGTATTAATTACATATATTAGATAAAAGATATTTCAATGGAGATATATTCATTTAAGTATTTGAATCATAGATTCCAAAAAAGTAACAAAGCAATAGATAATGTTGACTAATAAAAGACTAATAAAGACTAATAAAATAGTAACAACTGAAAGTGAATGAAATCTTTCCCTGTAGAAATATCCAACGTGAGTAATTTAAAGTGTCAACTATTTGTTACAGATGCAAACATAAACCTTGAACGATACAGACGAATTTTTTCTTTCAATTTAGCAGATTATCTATGCCCAATTGTACCAACGACAGAGAAACATTCTTCCATCATAATCCGAAAGAATTTGAACCTTTGACCAATTGTCCAAGTACTTATAAACGGTAGTGCAGACAGAAACGAAACGAGACTGACAACAAGAAATCAGTTCCGTGACAGGTATTAGTTTTTAAAGGGACGCTGATTCCTCTTGGAACACGTAATTCCATTATCAACTCGAAGCCTCGCGTTTCGCCTTCGCGACGTTTACGAAACGGCGTAAATACCGACTGATTCCGAGACAAGCTCTTTATCGAACCGAGACCGAGCGAACGCGTCTCGGTGGAAGGAACTCGTCGGAATTACTCGCGCGGAATTCCGCGCCAGACGCGGACGCGCCCCGTCACAATGACGCGTTCACCACGAAAAAGTCATCGTTATTTGTCACGGAACGTTGAGCGATTGCCCGTATACTGAAGGTGCCTGCCACCGAGATATCTGCATGCTACCCAACGTAAATAGGATGGAATGACAAAGTATGCCTCTTGCCAGACATATTTACGCCTGCTGAATATAATGTAAATACGTGGCTGGCTCCTCTCATCATCACCGAGTTACACTGGCTAAATTATTTCCTTGGCTTGATAGAAATTAACTCTCCGCGTGTATAAGCGTATGAACTACTCTGCACCTAATCCAAAACGGTCAATATGACGGATTTGTTTTTTTTTTACAATTAACAAAAACGTTGAAGTTTACTTACGTATTTTTCTTGTCGAAAGGAATGTTTAATTTTTGTAAAGCGTTTACTTGTTTAATTATTTATTAATTGCTAAGAATGTTAACCCTTTCATATAACAAGAAAGAAAGAGGAAGAAAAAGTAACAGTATCTATCGAAAGATCGATCGATCGTTCAGTCGTTGACTCTCTACTTACAAGAGACGAAGATTATCAATATTCTTGCAGATATTTAGTTTAATTAAAAAATCTGTTTAAATAAATGTTCAAATACTTTCGTGAGAAACTGTATATATGTACTCTAATAATCGGATCACTGAATTTGAGATTGGAAGTAATAATATTTCATTATATTATAGTGAAAATTTTATCGCCAATGAGATGTCTTATTTTAATCATTTTAAAATATTTATAGAAACGGAAACGTCGCCACCTGCTTTAAAGCGAACGTGTTAAAAATTCCTGTAGAAAACATCGTAAGTGCCAAACATCAAATTTCTCTGGAAGAAGAAAAATAGTTTACTATTTATTTAAATTTGTAAATACTAGATCTAACCTAATTAAGTTAAACCTAACCTTAACATAAATAAAAAAAGATGCCAATCTTATTTGTTTATGAATTATTCATATAGAAAAGCTAAATTTTCTTAATATATTTTTATTTTCAAATAGAATATACGTATAAAAATATAGTAATTATTAAAATGATACGGTATTTTTGTCAAAATTCATATTAATTCCTGTTTAGACAGAGATACGATTTTATAGATCTACTTATTTTAATTAGCATTTAAATTGCAATGATTTATATAAATAAATAGAATATTTTGGCACATATAAAAGATTGATTAGGTCGAAAGGTCGAAGTTATACCATTGAATTATTTACACAAATTCTCAAAGTAGCAGTTCGTTATTCTGTTTATAGTTTATTCATTGCTCTGGTTTCGTTTTTCGTTTCGACGTGATGAATATAGTGTGACCTTTTCTTAGCATTTATTGTTTGTGCCTTTTCTTCGATCCTTTCATATAGTTCGTTCCTGTTCTCATATATAGAAAGCGATCAATATTCAATTTAGCACTGATTTAAGGTTAAATTAAAACTTTTCAAATTTTACTTTTACTGATTATTGATAATTGAGTGGATTATAATTACGAGAACTTGATAAGCTTTTCATTCGAGAAAACTGTGACACTTGAGTAAATTGAAATAATTGGATAGTAATATATTGATGCACATGAAATGTGGTTCTTCGAAGTTTTAAGTTTCGTCAGTTATCAGTTATTAATCGTATAAGAAGAAATTTGCTATGACTCGTGCATGTTCGTGGAATTAGTTGTGTATATTAAGATGATTTGTAATAAAAATATTAAGTTACTATTAATTGCAAATAAGTTTGTACTTTGGAAACGTTAAAAATATGTATATTCAGCTTCTAGATCTCTGGATAATTTTTTAATGCGTAAACCAAGTAAAATAAACTGCAATTGTAACACGTCTGTTCCAAAAATTTTTCAACTTTGGAATTGATAATTCTTATAAATTTGAAGTTTGTACTAAATCATGTAAAAATAATTGCTTCTATTAAATATATTTTGAAGATACTTAATTACGTACCGATAATCCATTATATTTAAAAAACGATTTTTCATATACATCCTCCTAATATTAATAACAGATAGAATTTCGCATAATTTATGTGATGCGAGTGCATTCATGATTTAAGGATAGATTAGAATTTTTATTCACTTTCTTTTATATCTTTCTAATGCATTATATACCTTTCAATCATACCAATCCTATAGTGATTGAAAAAATTATTATATTAAACTAGAAATAAAATTACTCGTTGCTCAATCCTTTTCGTTCAATATTGTACAACTAATCAAAATTGAAATAACTTGACCCGAATTAATTTAAAACATTTGTTCCGAACTGTTCTAATAATACTGACATCCTGACTAATAATTTCGCGTGTTCTCGCGCTTGAACTTTGATGACACGTACATCGAGTTTCGTATTCAGTGTCGAACTGTATTAAACTTACTGAATTAATGTTGAATTAGTTGTTGACGTTAAATCATCCGAAAACTATCTAAGGCTTGAACTTCGATGCTTTAGATATATGTATGTACAATGAATATGTACCGAGAAATATCTAGTTGCTCTGTAGTTGCTGTACTATGTTCTGTTTTTACTTTGAGCGTTTCTCCGGGAGATGTACATAAATATTTTCGAGAATTTCAGAGTCGGATTCTTGCTTGGATGGTGAAAGATACGTCGATGCATATTTTAGCTTGCTTGGCAACGATTAATCTTCTTTCGTAATTGGTTTAATTTTCGGCTCAATGTATATACTTTTATTTAATAGTATACTCGTTTATATATACCTACGTAATTGGCGTACATACGATAATTCTTCTTGTACAATTGAACTACCAATGTGTGAACTAATTAGAATTATTGCGTGTAGATTCAGAATTAGTAATTAAAACAGTTGTTATATATTCTTATATTCGCGATCATGGCTCGATAATCTATATTTCTATCTATATTTTACACGAAAGCAAACTTTTATATTAGATTTTTTTTTATTGAATATTTTGCTTTTAAAAATTATTCTAACATGCAAGAACTGAATTGAGAAATGTATTTCCAAATATTATATCATTATATTTTTTATCGATATATGTTTATTTTATAAATATAAATTGGAAAAGAGTAAGTAAAACTTT